CAATAGAGTTACATCTGGTTATCCAGGGAGCCAAACACAATTGATAGCATGTTTTGTGCAAATATAAATGTCTGGCTGCTGGCTGGGCCTGCAAATACATGGATTCAGATACCATGGTCTCTGTAGTTTGGATCAAAGAGTTTTAAGAGTTTTGCAGTACAGGTCTAGACACTTGTAGAGCATTTCAGCCCTGTGGCCTAGGCACTATGAAAGGTTATTCAACTGTCCTGCAACCCCCGCATCCGTGTCATGACCCACTTCGCCTTTCCCCACCTCCGCAACATTGCCCAGCTCTGCCACAGTCTCTCGCCGCAGACCGTTGAGACCCTCATCCACAAGTTCATCACATCCAGGCTCGACTACTCAAACTCCCTGCTTGTCACCCTCCCCACTCTTCCCTCCACAGGTTGTAGATCATCCAGAACTCTGCAGCCCATGTCCTCTCCCACACCAGGCTCCGTGATTCTATCACCCCCAACCTCACCCAGCACCACCGGCTCTCCATCGCTCAGAGAATACAGTTCAAGATCCTGGCCTACCTTCAAATCCCTCCACAACCTTGCTCCTCCCTACCTCTGACCTCCAAACCCTGACCAACCCGTCCACTCCCTCTGCTCAGCAGGTTCCAGCCTGCTTCATGTCCCCACCTCACCAGCCCTACCATTGGCGGACGGGCCTTCAGCCTTGTTGTCCCCACCCTCTGGAACTCCAAAAATTGATCAGGGTTCCCATCTCTAATTGCTATCCATTGAATGTGCGTGTATATGGATATTATAATGGATAATCCTTGCATTTGATATACAGTAGTACCTTTCACCTCGGGAGGACATCACTAAGATCTTCATAGGATTTACTCTAAAGTCTAGTATGTATGTATTTGAAGTTGAACGGGACAGGCAATATGTGTCCACAAACAGCCTGAAGTTAGTGACCAACTTTAGCTGGGGGATTGTCAGCTGGGACGGTGGGAGAAACTCCCTTCTCTTTTCAAATAAGGCCAAGGAATATTTAACATCCACCTGAACAGGCAGATGGGCGCTTAAACATCCAAAGGGCGTTGGTTGAGGAATGGGTCCAGGTTAGTTCTGATAGGTCCACAGTCACACATGATGTTGGCAATCTGGGAGAAATACTCGAAGGCCATCAACTTATACTCAAGGTATCAACTTGTGAAGCTTTACCTAACATAAGTCACCGTCTTCAGGAAAGGAGAAATAGGAAATTAATTGGAATTTTGGTGGAGAAAAATTCACTTAGCTTCCCATTCAGATAACAGACCAATGGATTTTCAAATTGATTAATTCCCTGGCACCTCCCTACCTCTCCGACCTCCTCACTCCCCAATCCACTACCTGGCGCCTCCGGTCAACAGGCACCAGCCTCCTGTTCGTCCCTTGCACCCTCCGCCCCACCATCGAAGGTTGTGCTTTCAGTCACTGTGCCCCAAAACTCTGGAACACTATCCCTCAATCCCTTTGACCCCTCTCTCCCCTCTTTAAAGTCCAGCCTAAAAACTTTCCTCTTTGACTGTGCTTACGGTCACCTCCCCCCGGTTTGGAGTCAGCCTCCACCACTGTTAAGCACTCTGAGATGCTACCCTGCATGAAGGGCGCTATATAGGTGCAAATTGTTATTGTTGATGCATTCGCCTACAAAATACAGAGTCACTACACTTCATTGTAAATCCTCAAGCACTTTGACGCTTTCTTCTGATGTGAAACGCGCTCTCCTGATGTGAAACCCACTGTATCAAATACAAGGATTATTATTTATTAGTATTATTAATAACGTTGAGAATCTAACCAGGGATCAGAGGAACCCTGTGTGCAAGAAAACTGCCAATATAAGTTGTGTGTAAAACTCTACAGGTGATTGTTTGACATAATGCCAAAGGTACACCTGAAGAGGTTCTTGTCTTTGACGCATAATTGGAAATCTGGGTTGTAGGTTTGTAGTATCTGATGAGCATCTCCATTGTGATGTTATTATGCCCAGCTATATTTTCTCTGATATTGTGGAGGAAGAACTTTGATGTGGAATATGACAACCTCCTACAATCCACTTTTTTAGGCTAAATTTCCTTCCACAACTTCTCTTGAAGGGACTAACTTGTGGTTCCAATGATGCTGCAAGGTCTTGGGCACGTTGTCAGCTAGATATTTTTATTTGTGAACCTAAACAATATCAAGGAACTATTCAAATGTGGAGGCCATCACTACCAAATTGTGACTGGAATTGTTCAACTATTCCTATGGTCACCTCCTTCTTCTCTTTTGCTAGGGATCCAACTCCCTATGAAGCACTCTGAGATGTTATCCTATGTGAAGGGTGCATATCAATTAACGTTATTGTTGTCCACATATTCCCACCTTCTAGCAAGGGTTACCAGAAACAGATGCAGGATCCCTGACCCTCCCAAACACCAGCTATTATAGCTGAGATCAGCTAACTCACACACCAGGAATTAATCCTGCCATCTCCTGAACCAGGTAATGCCTTTACCATATAAGCTAGTGGTTAGGATGATTCCACTCGTTTTAATGGCATTAGACTGCACAATCCAAGAGGAAACATAGAAGATGAGATTTTTTTCTGAACTCACCAAATGGATTACAATAGTACAATAAAAATGTATATTTATAGAGCGACTTTCACATGGAGAGGATATCCCAAAGTGCTTAACCATACTTGCTGGCCACTAGCTGAGAGTTGAGGGGTGGGGGGATGGGGAGGGCAAAAGAAGACCAAAAGCACAGTCTCAAAAAGGAAAATCTTGAGATGGACCTTGTTCCAGGGACCCTTTTTGGAACACTAACATGACTCTAGGTCATAATTTATTTTGTTTGAAAAATACAAGTGGATTATTTCAGCCATCGTCTGCCCCCAGCTCCCCTCCTTCCCCATAGATAGGGTGTGATGGTCATTACTGTACCAATGTTATGTATCATAGTTATCAACCAAGATGATGATTAACTCTGTAGTTGAACATTTACAAACAAGAGTTGTAACCATGGTGTATTGGTATGGTTTAAGCCCCCAAATAGTTAAATCTCCATGATGTGGACAATTCCTAGCAACTAGGATTTGAGGAGAATTTTTTTTGTAGTGGGGGGCGGGACGAGGGACTGACGAACGACGACGATTGTATTATATATTTAAAACATTGGATAGAAAAGTTGGGTGAGAATTACATCGCCACTGTTACCCAGGTTGTTATACCATTATTGGAGAAGCCATATGATTAAATATTTCATTTGTCCAAATAAACTGCAAAGCACTAACGACGGTCGAAACATAATAACTGACTCGATTTAAAACGCTGTGCGATTACATTGCTTTGTTTCGCTTCCTTTACAAGCTGAAGTCTGTTTACCAAAAATATTTTTAAATACTGAATATGTACGATTTTGTAATATATGCAGTATATAAACTATAATATATAATGCGACTTTGTTCAACTTGTGAGTCGATTGATCGCGACTGTTCTGGCCGAGTCTGGGGGGGAAACCCACATTTTTCACAAGAAAGTGAGGCACAAGAAATCGAGAGCGAAATAATTTATTTGCATTTACGTAGCGAAACGTTCACCGTTTAACATTTAAACACAAGCCCTTTTGCGCACTAGGGCTGCTGACTGATTATTATGGACTTTCTTGTGTACACCGAGGAAAACAATGATCAATTTCATCAAAAAACGCCAAAGAGGGTTTTATTCGAAAACAAATATTTTCTATTTGTAGGGGTTGGGGGGGGGGGGGGGGAGAAAACTATTCTGACGACCTTTACAGCAACTCGCTGTTTTTTTTTACCTTTTACACCTTCAAATCAATTTTGGAGAGTAGGTGTGCGGGTTCAGAGAAATGCTTATCATTGTTTTGTTCTCGTGGGGTTATTTTTTAACGCACTGTTGCCATTCTTGGAAGTTATAAGCCGAGCCATGAGTAACCTTGGAGAATTGCAGAGTAACATAACTCATCCATTTTGTTTCGTTCAGACCCAAAGCCGTGATATATTTACTCCCCCCCCCCCCCCAATTCCCCCATTAACTGTTCGGGGAAACCTAACCCTCGAGCTTCTTCACAGACAAATGAACTTTCCCTAATTCCACATTTTCAACCATTTACTGGTGCTCATTTCGTCCCTACAACCGTGGCCATTGAGAACCAGAGCGTTACACACCCTTGATCTCACTTCTGAGAGGCGACCTGCCGCCCTCAGTCAGCACTTTTAATGCTCATTGCGGCTGGATTTTTGCAATTTAAAGGAGCAGAGCTCAAGTTGTAATGATAATACGATCCAGACAATACCCATTTGCCCTATTTTATTTGGATGTTGACCTAATTGAATCTCCCTCGCTTCTGCCAGTAGGAGGAAAAAGGATAGTCATACTGGGAACTCTCATTTTACATTACAAGAGAGCTGACAGAAACGAAAAGGTTTCGAAACTCGTTGTGGCCATAGGGAAGTAAAGATTGCACGCGTCTGTTGCTTTTAAATGCGAGTGAAGACGAGGCCAAACGACAAAGCGCTTTAAGTGGCCATAATGGAACCCCTAGCTCTGAATTACTAACTTTAACAACCTCAGCGAGGGTGCCAGATACACCCACCGCCCTCAAATAAGGGCTCGTGTGATCATTTCTCGCTTACTTTTTCGGGTGGGGGGGGGAGAAAAAGAGAAGTTTTATTATGCAAAAAAGAAAATGGTTTTGGTGAAACCTAAGATGGCGGAAGTGACGCTGCGAGAAGGAGGGAGGGAGTGAAGGGAATTTCGGTGATTCTTTCCCGAACCCACCAAAAAAGCGTGTTTTTTCACACAAAAAGAATAAATGCACGCTTTTATTACTTTAAATGAAGCTTTGGGAGGGATGATCGTTTAACAATATGTGTGTATGTGCATGAAAATAGTTGTGTATGTAGTGAGGTTGCTGGGGGAGGTGGGGGGGGGTCGCGTGTCTGTGGGCCCGTGCAGTGGCGGTTGGGCGGCTCGCGGCGCCGGCTCGCGCCCTCTCGTCCGTTGGGGGAAAAAGAGAGCGGGGGGGGTGGGGGGCGCGAGGCAGTAGCGCGCGCTTATTGGCTTGCGCGGGCTGTCACCAACAACAAGACGGGGTCGGTAAGTGCAGGGAGGCGAAGAGAGGAGGGAGAAACACGCACGGCAGGGCCAATGCTTTTAATATAAGGCCCCGGGGTTAGGGGTTGGAGGAGCAAGAACAAAAAAAAGGTGTCTGCTGCAAACTGGAGATCACACCTAGCTCGCAGTTGCAGCAATATTAGTAACTAGTGTGAAAATGGTTTGAAGGAGGAAGAGAACGGGAGAGGGGGTACGACGACTTTTTAATGTGTGTGGATGATACTGTCTACCACTTTAGGCCTACCGAGGGCAGCCAGCCAATAGCACACTGAACAGGCTGAGGGAGCATGGAGATGCTCGGCTGTTGAGCTATTTTTTGAGAGGTGGGGGTGAAAGCAAAAGGGAAGGAGTTTTTTTGTGAGATGCTCAGCAAGGAAGTGGACACGATTCGTGTCTGGATTTTTTTCATCATTCTCCACACATTCGTTCTTTATTGATAACAGTGGAAAGTGCCAGGACAGCTGAGGATGTAGGGCAGCCATGTTGCACCAGGAACTTTTCATTGAGAAAAGGCTTATTTCCAAACCTTTTTTTAAATATAAAAAAGAGAGCCCTTCTCGGTAAATGATGATTTAAATAAATAGGTAGTGATAGTCGGGTTTAAGTAAGCTGCCATTGCAGTAGGAAGAAAGAACGCAGCATCCCGAAGGCGATCAGGAGAATATAGGAGGAAAAAAGAGGTTGAGGTGAGTTGGAGCCCAGGACTGACGTCAAGAGGGTAATTTCCATTTGAAACATTTGTAAATCGTATTTCAAATGAAATTACAATTGAAGGGTTTGTACAATAAATGGGCAGGTAAGTTTGTGTTTAATTGCAGATCCACTGTTGGACTCTACAAGATCGTGGTAACATTATGAGGATGTTAACCAGGAGAAGGAGGAGCAAGACCGTCGCAATATATTTTAAACATGTTTTAAAATGGATATTATACCAAAGTTTATTTGCTGGGATATGGAAAATAACTACATTTACGATGATGCATGTTGCAATTATAAGATTTTGGGTACTGTACATTGTTTTTACTCAGGGTGTGTGATGATGATTTCATAAATTTGATTTAAAGCTGAAATATATATTTGCGAGGCCTACTGGCTGCATAGAACAGTGGGTGGAGTTTAGAAATACACATTAACAAATAGTTCATATTAGTTGTTTTTGCTTTTTCATAAATTTACATTTAATTGCAGGATTATGTCCATTTTATGCACCTTTTGACGGAAGGATAGTATGCAAAATAAGCCCCAAAATGTGAGATATTCTGAAGCATAGCTAATAATTTTCTAAATTTTTGATTGGTTTAAAGTTATCGTGTATGGTCCAATTATTTGAATGGAAACATAGGCTATATTACTATGAAAAATATACGATTACTTATTCCTAATCTTAAGGTAGGATACGCAGCAAATGATGCTTGAAAATATAGTAAGATATTTTGTGTTATTGTGCTATCGTGTAACATTTGTTATGTAATAGAAATATGTATTTTTACTCAGAATAATTGTTTAATTTCTGTTATCTACCTAACTTTTCCCGAAAGCACCATGAAGTTTGATTTAACTCTGATTTTATATATATATATATATATATATATAAACATATACCAGATTCTTAATTACAATTTAAGAAATTGGCACATTTGTTTGTCTGGTTCATATTTGTTATTGGAAGTGGTAACCCAGTAACATTCATTATGCATTCTTCCAGATGTTATCTGTATTCATTATGTACACTGCACACTGTGGTCTTCATTTGGTTTAAAGATTTCTGCAACTCATTTTTGTAGAAATGTACTTTTTTTTGTTTTAGACGATCCAAATTATTTAGTATACTGATCCATATTTAGTTCTAGTATCAGTAACTGCTACAAATGCTAGAAGGGCTATTAAGTAAAGATGTTGTTGAGCAAAGATACAGTTGTATTACCTCTGAATGGAATGTTGTACTTCATCTGGTTTGCATTTTCCAAACTTAAAATTTACTTTAGATGCCGGAACTCCTGATTTGTGATGTCATTTATCCACAAAAAATACACTAACATTTGATCTACTGACTAGAAGTGATACTAGTGCCTATTTTAATTTGTTTTGGCAGAGGAAGTTTAAGAAAATTGCAGTGGGTGTGGGAAAGACTATGATTGCATACATTTCGAAAGAGCAATGTATGACAGTGGTATTGCATTTTATAAGGAAGCACATAAAGTAACTTTTGTGATATTACATATTGTAGGTGTTAGCCTGGCTCAGTTGGTAGTACTCAAGCCTTTGAGTCAGAAGAATTTCTCCTTGACTTCTCTGCCACCTTTGACACTTTCTCCACAGTTTCTCCTCTGCTTGTCTTCCCAGGTTCTGTCCTTTCTGTCTTTCAAAAACTGCATCTAGGCTTTTGGTGGGCTTTCCCTCACCTCTGCAACATTGCCTGTTTCTTGCTATCTCTCCCCCTAGTTGCTGCAGTTCTCATTCATGCCTTTATAAAATCCAGCCAGACTTGATTTTTCCAAATTCCAAATTGTTGGACTCTGTGGTTTCCCTCCACAAGCTGCAAACCATTCAGAAGTCCAAGCGCTGTGAGCCCATCACTCCTCTTCATTTGGTTCCAGTGGTTGCACATCTAGCAGATTGAATTCAAGATCCTCACTTTCAACTCCCTCCATGGTGCTGTCCCCACCATACCTTTTTAACCTACTGCGATCCTACTGCCTTAACCCTTCCATTTGCTCAGCAAACTTTGGCCTGCCTCATGTTCTTTGCCTGATTTGTTTCACCAGTAGTAGGGGAACTTGGCAGCCACTATGCGCACAGCAATGTGTACAAACAGCCATGAAATTAATGACCAATTTTATCTGGGAGATTGTTAGCAAGGATAATGGGAGACATTTCCTTCTCTTTTCTCGAATAGTGACATGGGATTTTAAGTGCCCTTTGAACAGATAAACAGGACCCGTGTTCTGAGTTAGGCTATCTTTGATGCTCTTTGTTTACAAAATTGTCTACTTAGTATTAATTAGTTATGCAGCACATTGAGATTTTCTTTGTAACGTTTTATTTATAGTTTTCATATACGTACAATAAATAGAACCGTGTTAATGAGCGAGAATGCAAAGATCTATTTTCTGTTACATTTACCAGGAATAACTATTGCAAGAGGTACTGAAGATCACATAATTGATCAATGACTTATTAATCTTTAATACAAAAGAAAGTGCAAGCTTACCATTAAATCTAAGGACAAACTAAATTCTGAAAGAAAAAGAAGATACGCAAAGACAGCTCAAAGTTCTTTAGAATAATTAATTAGATTGATTCCTTACCATGTGCTAGGAGGCATCATCATTTATTGAAACAATTGGGCAGAAGAAAAAAATAGGAAGTGAAGTACATTTTTGGTGGTAGGTAGAAAAAGTAAAAATTTGAAGATGTTTTAATATTGTCGGTTGCAATTTTTAAAAAAACGTTACATTTTGTAAATTATTTTTGGACTATATAGAGGAACTCGGCTGGGAAACTGCATTTATGCTTTGCCTTAACAATGAGGAAATTGTCATTTGCAATGCTGACAAACTAGTTTGTGAAGCCTGTCTGTCCTGTCATCGTGTTTTTTTTCACATACTGTAATTTTATTAGCTGGACCTTCTGTAGAAGATTAGATGTTACAACAATGTGGTTCTAACAACAATGTGGTTTTAATCTTAGATTTTCTGAAGAGCTGTCTTAATTGCTTAATTAATTGCGAATTATTACATTCAACTTGGAGGTAGCAGTTTTAACAGTTGTCTACTCAGTTACTGAAATACATTAACAATAACATACTAGCTATATGGTGGTATGTATGTATATATATAGACCACCATGTATATATGGATAATAATAATAATCCTTGCATTTGATATAGCGCTTTTCACGTCAGGAGGACGTCCCAAAGCGCTTCACAGAACACACTGTAAAGTGAATTGACTGTATATTTGTGGGCGAACGCGGCAGCCAATTGCGCACAGCAATGTCCCACAAACAGTCATAGATTGAAAATGACTAATTTATTATTGTTTTTGGAGGGATTATTATTAGGCTCTGTGTGGAGTAAGGAAACTTGCCCAAGGGTTCGCCCTCTGCCTGGAATTGAACTCAGGTCTCTCACTTGCAAAGAGAGTGCTCTAACCACTGAGGTACAGGACTCCAAGGGTTCCTAAAGTTCATCTTTTTGACCTATAGGAAGTACGTTTCGGATGATTCTTTAGTCTGTATGTAGATTATTGTAACTTGGTGGTGGGCTGGCATGGGATATACCATTTGGTTCCTAGTGTCATATTGTTTGGTTCCCAGAGGTTGCAGGCACACTGATCAGCTTTGAGGTTACAATAATCTATAGATGAATCATTGATACTTGTAGCTTTTGACCCAAAACAATTTACCTGGATTTGACTGAAATCCAAGATTTCGGGCAACAGATACATTTATTTCTGGTATTTTGCAGCTTTAATTTTTTTGATTTAGTGCCATTTATAAACTTTGAGATGATAATGAAGCACTAGCCTGATGTAGATGCGAAATCAAAGGATTGTGAACCTTATTTCAAAAACTGGGTTTGGTTACTGGTTTAGCATGCTGATGAACAGAACTCCAAACTATGTAAACAAATAATAATCTTTGCATTTGATGTAGCGCCTTATCATGTCTTCAAGACTTCTCAAAGCGCTTCACAGGATACACTGTAAAGTGGAGTGACTGTGTGTTTTGTGGGCACATCAGTAACAACTGCACCAATTCCATTTGAGCCGTCCATATGTTAATTTGAAAATATGAGGAGGTGAAGAACCTTGGGTTATCCAACAACCAGTGACTAAATATCCTTAAAATAGTTTGAACTTTACAGTTTATGGTATAATGAGTATTATGCAAATATCAGAAATTTTCAAATGTGTTTCAAATGCACAGAATTGTTTTGTTTGCAAGGTAAGACTCATTCTTTATAATCAGTTTGCTTTCTGTTCCATTCCAGGGTGACTAGGGCAGAATGGATCATATCTGTGAATATGAATTTACGGTGGGCAGCTCTCTACCTTTTTCTAATCAGCAACGTTTTTCAAATTCATTGGGTTTCAGTATTTCTGAGAGCAGTGGCATAAGCTACAGAACAGGGCAGAATGATGTCTGTGGCGAAGAGTGTTACAATTTACAGGAGAGAAGTGCTGTTCACCTGTCACCTGGTTTTCAGGATAGCACATCACCTGTGTTAAATGGACATGGTTCAACGTCGCCATATATTCCGTTGCGCAAGCTTCAAGATCTGGCTTCTATGATCCCCACTCGGTTTTCTGATTCCACAGAGGCAAGGCAGTGGTTGGATTCCCCCCAGGATTCTGTGACCCAGGACTGTTGTGTGACGGATAAAGACAGTTGTTCTCCCTCAGAGTCTGATTCTACACCAGAGGTGAAGCTCAAGATAACTAAAATGGTTATGAATGGAAAGATGATGTTTGAGTCGGCCATTTGCAGTGAGGTGGAGACTGAGGATGGAAAGGGTTCTGATGAGCAATCTCCAGGCATTGAAGATCGAGAAGCACCAGTACTGCATAGAGCAAAAAGAATGAGAAAGAAAAGTGTTAAATACAGTCCTTCTCATGAAACAGAAGAGAAGGAGGAAAATGAGATGTGTTCTCCTGCACTACCGCCAGTGGAAAGAAGGAAGCATGTGAGTTGCTTTTGTAATAGAGCTGAGTTAAGGGTTGTGCAAATTTATTGTAATTTATATGTAAAATATATTCATAGATAACTTATTATGCATGGAATTTCTTATTAGTACAAATATGTTTGTTAATGAGTGGCCTAGATAAAGAGACCATGTGCATGTCTGAATCAACAGAATTAATTTATGGTTGTTTTATAGCACTTTGTTCACATTCAAATTATCCCAAAACTACCTTTGTGAGTTCTCCCACAATCTTTTAAAAAAGGTTTTATTATATTGTACAGCAATCATTGTAAAATGAATTCTTGATTGTAGTTTTAAAAATTTGTAAGCTGAAATTTATGAGTTGGAATACAGTGTGTTGCCTCTAACTATAGTTTGCCTGATTTCATTTCAGTGTGTCGGCAGACGAAAGAAGGTGATTCCAGTGAGGTTTGAGGTTGGAGACCTGATATGGGCAAAGTTTAGTAGAAGACCCTGGTGGCCTGGTACTGTGTGTCTTGACCCTCTGTTGAAAATTCACACTAAAATGAAAGGTAAGTATCTGTTTCAGAACACTTAAGAAACTGAATTCAGCTACAGCTTCTAATCAGTCCATTGGATTAAGCGGTCGGTGTTAATTGAACTCTAGATCATACGAATGCCCCTTCTTATCTCAAGTTCTCTGTGTCTTCACCATTTCTGTCAAGAGTGTGGAAGATGACTGCTTTCATATCTCAGTTTATGCTGGTTAAATGACCACTTGGATAATCGCAAAACTGCCTCAGTTTAGATCCTGTACAGTTTTGCGATGCACTTCCTTGCTTGGCACCTTCTCTGGTGGCTCACTTGAGATCAAGGAATCATCTTGGGAAATGTAGTTTTAACTGTGAATTTTTTTTCGTATTAATTATGTTGGATCTGTTTCTCATGTACCCTAGCAAAGGTTTTTCTTTTGGTCATCCAAGTGTCTGACACCTTTGCAGAAACCTGTTACTGTGCTTCAGTACAGTACTGTGTCCAAACCAGACAGTATGTATGCTACCTACACATGGAAATTTCTGTGTCTGGAATGCCATGCACATACTTCCCTCTGGAAGAATACACCTTACTTACTAAATTCTAGAAATAATTAGGCACAGTTTGATGAGAGCCAAAACTTGGGGGCTCCAGAATGTGCAGTGGGTTCCACTTGTATTTTAACCATATAAAACATATCTAACTTGTCATTGAGAGCTCTGTCTGGCAAGCTTCCCAGCTGGGATCACTCTTGGCTGTTAAATCTTTGGCTTGCAGGCTAATAGGAACTGAGTGGGAAGAATTTCTACCCCCAATCAACTCCTCCAAGTCTTACCGATGATCCAGGCTGACTGGTCTAGTCTGACTAGTAGTGCCCTGAAGTACTGCCCAAAACCACCACATAGGGTTAACTTGATTTTAACATTCCATTGCCGCATGTGTCACCTTGGAGCTAACTCAGTTTCAAAGAGACCCTGCTTCTTCCCCTCCCCAGAAGAAAGTAGAGATGGCCAATCTACTTTGCTATGATCAAGTGCCTGGTTTGGGCACTTGATTAGGATGTCCTTCCAACATGAAAGTGTGATATGAAACGTAAGGAGTTATTATTATAAGAATTATTATAAAATTTAACTAATTAGGAAGTGTTTTGATGTGTGTATTCTTTTGGATTGTTATTAAATTTTTACTGTTGTTGTCCCATTAGACCCCAGCAGGAGGCCTTGCCGACAATATCATGTTCAGTTTTTTGGCATAGTTACAGAGCATGCCTGGGTAGCATCAGCAGTCGTTGAGCCATTTGAAGGAAGACATCAGTATGAACTGCTGGTTCAAAGGAATGCCAAAAATTCAGATGATGTACCGAGAAATAAGGTGTTGCACGTTTGATCAGATTTTTGCTCTTTATCTTGCTGAAAGGTCAAATTTTAAACGAGCATTTTATATAAAAGAAACTATTTTATACGTTCCATCATTATAGTTATACCAAGGTGATCTCGATGAAATGATCTTACTCATTACCTAATTTTCATTTGTTTCCCTTCCTTTCATTCTCCCCCCCCCCCCCCCGGGAATAAGATGGCTCTGTAATGCTTTCATTTCTGTCTGAATTATGGGCTATTGTTGGATCTGAACCTGAGGTTTGGCCCACACATTACTGACAGTTGCAAAGGTAGATTGATGCACATTTCTGGTTTCAGTCACAAGATTCACTAAGGAGTTAAAATTGCCATAAGCAGCATTTTTCGCTACACAGTTGGTTCTGTTGCTTTTAGATAAGTTATTATAATCAATTTCACAAATTGCACAGTTAAACTTAAATTTGCTACAACAGCAATTTGCATTTATATAGCACATTTCACACGGGGAAGCATCCCGGAGCACTTGACAATGGCGGAGTCTGACCCCGAGCCAAGGGGAGAGAGGTGGTGACCGTAAACATGATCAAAAAGTAAGGTCTTTAGGTGGGATTTGAAAGTGGGGAGGGAGGGGGCAAGGCGGACGGATTGAGGGAGAGAGTTCCAGAGTTTCGGGACGTAGCGCCTGAAGCCACGGCCACCGATGGTCTAGGGACGAACAGGAGACTGGTTCCAGCCGAGCGGTGCCAGCAGATGAGGGAGTGGGGGTAACCAAATCGGATAGGTAGGCCGTAAGGGATTTGAAAACGAGAGAGGATTTTAAAATTGATCCGTTCAGTAATTGGGAGCGAGTGGAGCCTAACAAGGGCTGGTGTGATGGGGATATGGAGTTTTGTGCAGGTAAGAATCTGGATGGAGGAGTTCTGAATTAGTTGAATTTTATGTATGGTGGAGCTGGAGAGACCAGAGAGGAGGGCATTGGAATAGTCCAGCTGGAAAGTAGCAAAGTTGTAGACGAGGGTTTCGGCTGCTTTTGTTGTAAGGTACGGACGTAGGCGGGCAATATGACGGAGGTGAAAAAAAGCAATCCGGGTCAAGGAGCAGATGGATAGAAAGGAAAGCTGGGGACTGAACCTGATGCCATGTTGCGGTGAGTGTGAGGGAGAACCTGGGGAGTTCAGACCTGTAGGAGAGAAGATGTTGACGGGAGCCAAAGAATATGACTTCTGTCTTGCCGACATTCAGCTTCAGGAAATTTGCACTCATTCAGGCCTTGGTGTCCATCAAACAAGCTGACAGGACAGCAGACTGGGAGTCGCAGCTGAAGGAGGAGAAGTAGATTTGGGTGTCATCCATATACATGTGGAAGTTGAGCCCATGTCTACAGATGACATTGCTGAGGTGGGGGCCAAAGATGGAACCTTAGGGCACCCCGCAGATGACTGGTGAGGCCGGGAGGAAAAATGATTTGCCGAGATGTATTGTTGGTAGTTGGTTAAATAGGACTCGAACCATGCGAGTGCTGTCCCACTAATGCGAATGAGGGAGTAGAGGCAGTGGAGGAGGACGGTGTGATCGACTGTTGAATGCGGCAGAGAGGTCGAGAAGCATGAGGAGGCAGAGGGATCCTTGGTCACAGAGAGGGTGTAATTTGTTTCTTTGACAAGCGCTGTCTCTGCTGTGGGCAGGGCAAAAACTGGACTTGAGGGGTTCGAGTAGGGATTGTAGGGAGAGGTATGAATGAAGTTGATGTGGCAACGATGCATTCCAAAATTTACGCCAGGAAGGGCAGGTTTCAGATGGGTCTGAAGTTTGTGAGGTTGGAGGGATTGAGGGCAGTTTTTTTTAAGGAGAGGAGTGATGACACCAATTTTGAGTGGGACAGAGCCTGAAGAGAGGGACTGTTTGACTGTGTCATCTGGCAGTGGGCAGAGGACGGGGAGTTGAGTCACCGAAAGTTGGGTGAGGAGGGAGTCAAACAGCAGGTGATGGGCTTTATGTGGGTGATAGTGGGGAAAGGGAGGAGGGAGAGATGGGGGTCAAAGGAATGTATGGTGGGGGCCATGGTAAGAGTTCTGGTAGGAGGAGAGGGTGATGAAGGAGGCATGGGGGTGAGATAGGCGACATGGTGGGTAGTGGGAGGCAAAGGAGGCAGCCAAGCAGATGTTATCTATCTGAAAAATAAAGGAAGTCCAGGACCTCTTTGCATGGCATCTGAAGTGAGGATCGAGGGTGCTTGAGAGGGGAGTAGAGGAGGTGGTGGGTAGGGTAGAACAGTATTTTGGGGTTACTTTTGGCCTAGAGGATGACCTGTGAATAGAAGGCAGTTTGGGCTTGAGAGAAGGAGTGGTGGTTGGTGTTAGTATGCTCGACCCACAATTGCTGGTGAACCGTGAGGCCGGTTTTGTGCCATCTGCGTTCGAGCAACCGGGTTTGGGATTTAAGAGAGCGGAGAAGACTATTGTGCGATGCGGAGCGGGTAGGTTTGGAGATGGTCCAGGATTTCAGGGGGACAAGGGAATTAAAGGTGGAGGCTAGGTCATCATTTAGCAGCTTGATGGCTGCCTCAGGATCGCTGTTGGTGGAAGGCCAGAGGGAGAGAAGGTCTGAGGTGAGAGGAAGTTTGTGAGGGACTCGGGCAAAAGCTTTTTCCATGGGCGGAACTCTTCCTCTAACTAAATAAAAAGGAAAACTGTCGATGGAATAAATAGTTTGATTGGATTCAGAACTACTTCATAATCAACTTCTCCCCATTGTGATATATAAATGCACTTTTAAATATTGTTTAGATTTTGTGTGCAAGGAAATAAATGTCTTGTTTTATATTTCATCTAGATTTCTGCCAAAGTATACACGCAATGGGAAGCTGGCCTTGTTCAGGCAGAAGAAGTGCTTTCCATGTCTCATGAGGATAGGAAATCAAAATATTGCCTAATTGGTGAAAAAAATCTGCTTCCAAGATCCGAGGGGCAAACGTGTGGTATTCAGCTCTATTCAGAACCCAAGGATATAATCAAGGCAACAAACTCTGGAAATCATGTCAAGGAGTCTGAAGATTGTCATAGGCACAATAAGAAAAACAAAATAAGCACTAATGCTAAGAATGCAAAAAATTCTTCTGACTGTAAATTGGGAAAGACTGTGAGAAGTAAGTTCTCAAAATCTAGAGATCCTGTCAAGGATTCAGCACACTGCTTATACAGTACAAACAATATTGTAAATAACCTGCAAATGAACTCCGCAATCCTTATAAATGGTGTAAATGAAGCCCCTGATGAATTGGTCACAGGAGTGGAGGGCATGTCAACAAAATCCAGCTATACGGTTGAAAGTTCTTCACAGTATACTAGTGTCGTAAGTACATCAGAAATTGTTTCAGCTGCAACTGCTGTCTTAAATGGGACAGATGAAGAGACAACTAAACAGCCTTTAAAAGTGAGAAATAATGCAACTTTAATTCAACGCAAGAGAAAAGATAATGCCGTGCAGCACACTATCTGCAATGGATTTGGAGCTCGACTGGAACACGCTTGCCAGAAAAATCACAAACAGGTTTGTGCACATGTACACAAATTTAGAAAAAACAAATTTGTCTTGGTTACAGTTGTTGAAAATTAGCCTGAGATAGTTAAATGGCCAGTGCCAGCTGTTTTAGATTCTGGACATGCTTGAAATGTTATTTGTTTGCAAAAGAACAGGGTGTTGGTTGAGAAGTTGTTTTGCAGAAACTTCCCTAAATGCTTTTTCTTACTTATCAAATCAGTGACATCTCATTAGAAACTTTATGATACCCCACTTGTCCATTGCTGAAAATCTGCTAACCTATAGATAAGGACTTTTAAGAGAGAGTATTTTTGGAAAGTTTCATACACTAAGGTTGTAGAAATGGTTAGGTGAAACCTGGAAATCTTGTTTTATTCTTGTATTGGGATACGCAAATTATGCTTTGGTAGATCCAAATCGCCTTGCGATAAGTCTGTTCTGTAGCCCTGTTCATCTTATTTTCTCAAGAATTTTTTTCAGAATTTTACTCGTCTTTGGGAACTCACCTGCCACAGTAGCTCAGTGGTTCCAGAACTCATGTCGCAAGTGAGAGACCTGGGTTCGATTCCCAGCAGGGCAAAACCTTGGGCAAGTTTCCTTACTCCACACGCATGACAATAATCCCTCAAGAAAAATACAATAAAAATTTGGTCACTCAAACCACGACTGTTTGTGGGACACTGCTGTGCGCAATTGGCTGCTTTGTTTTGCTCACAAAATATACAGTCAATTCACTTTACAGTATATTCTGTGAAGGGCTTTGAGAGGTCTAGAAGAAATGAAAAGCGCTATATCAAATGCAAGGATTATTATTATATCAAAGGTTATCTGTCTTCCAGTAAATTTAAGTATTGCTTAATTGATGACATCAGCCTTTTGTGTAGTTGGGGCAGAAGCTTTTTTTCATTCTAGGCACATGTTTTGCTTCGTGAAGTAGACTTTAAGTAAATGGACTAGTAAATTGAGTACTCAGAGTAAATTCTTGTTACTTCTTGATTGTTCATCAGAGGTCACTTATTTAGCTAACATCTAGCAAATTAATCTACAGGAACTGATCAATGTATTATGCTTTACTGTATTGAATTTACAAATTGGGTGCAGTGGTTTTGCCATATTTTCACTGGATTTAAGATAACTAATTGTAGATCCTAGTAATCCCACTAACTTTTGTTCTTTACTTCTTTAGTATACTTTACTACTTTTTAATATGTTGACATTGAGTAAATGTGGAAAATTCTTGGAATACGTAGAATTAGTGAATGTGTTTCGTTTGGGGGGGAAAAAATCAAAAGTTCATATAAGAGTTCCCTTGGCCTGTGCTTATTTTTCCTTCTGACATTTATGTGCTTTACACTCTTTTTTGATATTGTACATTGCCGCACAGTAATTGACATTGCGGCAACCTCACGATCCAGAAGTTGGCACTGTTTTTAAATGAGCTGGACTCAGTTGGAAACTGCTGTCAAGACCCAATTACCAGACCGGTTGGGATTCGCAGGCACTGCACCACTGCATTATGGCTGAGTTGTACTGTATGAGTGTCATTCTTGGGTCATAGGTACTTGAGTGCTTATTTGATATGCTGAGATATGAAAGATGTTTGAAAACTTTTTTTACATCATAGAAATGCAACAATGTAATTTGATGAAAACAATTGTATTGTTAGAAAAGAACTTGCAAAGAAGAATTGTTTTTCCTCATCATTCTGTATAGATTTCTGTTATAGCTGAGATAACCTCAAGTTGCTTCAACATTGTGGCGGAAGTGTCCCATTCTGGTGTTGGATAGCTCTGGTGTAATTTCTGGTTCCTGTACTCTGTCCTCCAATAGTTGATGTGGGAATCCCAGAGTAAACAAGATGAGAATAGGCTACACATAACCAGGTTGATTTGGTAGATGAGCTGTTCTGTACCAAGATGCCAATACTGCAAAATATTGGCCAAGACTAACAAGACAATAGAAGCAACCGACTTCCACTTTGTCAACATAGTGGAAATTCAATCAAAAAATGGTCAACCCGAGACAACTAATATTGAACCATACATCTGGGATCAGATTTTTAAAGCAAACAGTCTTTAAAATACTCAAAGCAGGGCAGTGCTTTGAAATGGAGAATGTCCATCCATCAGTGACTTAGAGGATTCCCACTACAAAACATTCATTGTAGCTTTGTTTTTTGAAAACTTCAGTCTTAACAGAGCAGAAATAAACTTAACTGTAGAATCATATTTTCTTTGGACTTGTAAGTTAAAGCAGAAAATGGCAATGAGGAACATCCTAATTGCATGATTGTTTCTGATAATGAACCTCCAGTTGGTGAAATTTCATCCTATTATAGAGATCTGATATCATGGTGGACAGCCAGACAGTCTTTAGAAAATGGCAAACCATTTTCAACAGGGCATTGAATGAGATTGAGGTGATTGTATCGGACATTCTTGACTCATGATTTATTTGGAGGATTTCCCTGCTTTGGCTTGCGACCTTTTTATTAGGCTTCTGTAGTTTCTAGTTCCTGTACTCTGTACTCTAGTCAATCAGTACATTGTCACAGAGACTATAAAATTATTCTTATTCGGGAAAAGTGAGTGTCACCACAAATTTTCTTCAAACCAACCAGAGTTTGTGAAGTCCTTGAGCTCAGTGGTTAGAGCATTCGCCTCACAAGCAAGAGACCTGGTTCGATTCCTGGCAGGGTGAAACCTTGAGCAAGTTTCCTTACTCCACAGGCCTGATAATAATCCCTCAAGAAAAAAACCAAATTGGTTACTTCAATCCATGACTGTTTGTGGAATACTGCTGTGCGCAATTGGCTGCCACATTTCGTTATATACAGTCAATTCACTTTAGAGTCTATTCTGTGAAGCGCTTTGAGATGTCTAGAAGATGTAAAAAGCGCTATATCAAATGAAAGGATTATTATTAACTCTTTCCTATCTATACCCCTGAACTTGAGTATCCATTATGTTAAACCAAAGTCCTGTCTGCCTGTTCAGATAGATGTTTAAAAAAATCCCATGGCACCATTTGAAAAGAGAAGGGAGCTTCTCTCTCCCAGTGAACTGGCCAACAATCCCCCAAATAAAATTGGTCACTTACTCCATGGCTGCTTGTGGGACATTGTTGTGTGCAACTGACTGCTGAGTTTTGCCTACAAAATACAGTTGTTCCTCTTTACAGTATATCCTGGTGAAATGTGTTGAGATGTCTCAACTACGTGACAATGTGCTAAATCACACAAGTATTATTGTTGGACAATAAGATTTCTTAGTAGAGATCTGGATTTGGGTAGCACACAACATCATTTTAGAATGTAATACATCTATGTAGCTTATCTTAAATGATAAACAGTGCTTGTCCTGCAAGGAAAAAATTATATTTTAGTCATATGACTTCTGACTACTTAAGACCTCTTTGTCTCATCTGCTCGTCTGCAGTAATAATGCTTTGGGTCTTAGACTTCCTGATAGAAATATGAATACCACATATTAGTTTCCTTTATGGAGCACTTTTCCACTGTGATTAGTTTCCAACTTAAATATAACCTGATCTCTCTCACACACACACATGTACTAGTCAATGTTCATTAATATAAAATAGCTTTTCATAATCTATGGTGCCATTGCCAGCTGGATACAATACTTGAATTCTCACATACCGACACAACTGCTTTTGTACTGAGCAATGGCAAATACAAGAGCTTATTACACTATCTATCAAGATGTGAATCCTCCTATAAAAGTATGCCTGACCTTGCAGCATCTCAAAGAAAGCTACTTAGCAAAGGGAGCTAACTTGCTTGCTGTAGAATATGGTGACTAATTACCCTTTGCCTGCCCTCCTTCCCTAGAAGTGGTTTGAACATCAGGATATCCTGCCAACAATGGGTTTACACCAGATACGTCCCCTAATACCCTGTGTCTCTTTCACAGATCATCTATGCACCAGATCCTCCATAATACATACAGGCAAGACAGTTGGACCAGGAGGCAGACTTTTAGCATTCATTGGCCTTCACCAACATTACCAAATAGATGTATCCTTCTCTTCAGCTTGTTTACAATTATTAGTCTGCCCTCCTTAGTGACCCTTTGCTGGTATTCAACTTTTCCGAGCTGAAGAACAAATTTTATAATTCAAATGCTGCCGCTTGAATTCCAAATGGAATACCCATTACACATTTATTTATATTACTGTATATATTAAAGGTGGAAACAACGAAACTATGGAGAGGGATCAATCAACAACATTACCCGAGCTCATGAATTACCATTATTTGGACAACAATGTTTTTAGCTATCTTATCACCAATAAAGAACAAGTCTAAGTGGACACATTGTGTGTAATACATTATTATTTGTAGGGTGTTGAATCCTAAGAACTCAAAGACCATCTTGTGCAAGACTGTAGTTGCCACTACCATTCCTTCCACCTGCCCTTTGCAGTGTAATGTTTTTTATATGTGATATTTAAGACACGTATAGGATGTGGAGTTGTATGGTCTGGTTTATTTAACAGGTATTTTTTAATGGTATTGAGGAATGGTAGCTGTGCTTTGGTGTGCAGATGTGTCTGAGCATGTGTGCTCATGTGCAAATTTTATTTTGTATGATGGCTTTTAGGATTTGTCTTGTTTGGGGGGGCTTTAGGAATAGTTCATCCATCCACTGTAATTTAAATACTTACAAGAATTTTATACCAGTCTTTGGTGAAGCATATTGGCAAAGATTATCGTAGACAGGATTAAATAGAAGTCCATGAAACACAAAACACAGTTTTTTATATATCGAGTTTACATTTTCATCAACTCCTTGTCATTAGTGGAATAGTGGAAAGCACCTTTTGCTGGAATTATGATGTACAGTCTCGGAGAAAATGAAAAGGATGTGCTATAATTTTGGTGAAATATCATTAGACATATAGAAAAAAACACCTCTATGATGGATGGTAAAGATTGGTGCCTACACATGGTTTCTACCTTGATTAGTAGTGTATATCTGCTTTCTTTGGTAGTGTTTTTTTTTCTAGTCTCAAGCTTAGTTTAGTCAAGTCTTACTGCATTTTCCCGATGTGAAAGGCACTAAATAAATGCAATTTATTGTTTGTTGTAAATGTCTTATGGTCAGAACGTATTGGTGTTTAAATTGATTTGAACTTGAACGAAAAGGGTTCTGTTTTTGTTGTACAATGTGATTACCTGTGTGGATTTACTCCGTATGTATTTTTCCTGGTTAGAATTATATGGACGCAGACTTTATTGGTGGTTATATTACTCAGGGAAAGACTGAGGAAATCTGTGATTTAGAATTGTGTATGTTCCTGTCTGTGTAATAAAACTTTGTCGGTCAGGTTTGTTTGTTTTTAACACCTCAAGACGCTTTAGAGAAAGTTATAAGTTGGTATATAATACTAATTGTAGTACCCAGTACATGCTTAATAATCAATATATAAGTCATGTAGCTCAGTGGTTAGAGCACTCGCCTTGCAAGCGAGATATCTGGATTAGATTTCCAGCAGGGCAAAATTTTGGGCAAGTTTCCTTACTCCAAATACCTCTGTTTACCTAGCAGTAAGTAGGAACCCGGTTATTAGACAATTGTCGGATTGCTTTTCCGGGGGTAATAATTGCCTCAAATAATAATAAATTGGTCACTTTAATCCACATTGTGGGACACTGCTGTGCACAATTGGCCAAAATAGCCGATTCACTTTACGGTGATTATATTGTGCTTTGAGACATCTCAAAGACGTGATAAGGTGCTATATCAAATGCAAGGATTATTATATTATAAAGTATTTCTATTTGGCACATATTGCAATAAACAGTCATAGAATTAATGCACTTTTAGACTCCTAAAGATGAAACTTCATGATGTAAATGTTTGATTCACTGGCTTGAGAAATCCACAACAAACCTTGATTATCAGAAATTTTCACGATAGGTTTTGCTTTGTTTGTGGTCTTAAGTATCTTGGTCTCCCGATTGCCAACAGTATTACTGTCTATATTTTCACGATTGGTGGCTTTACTTAAAAGTGGCAGCAATGTTGTTTACAACTTCCGGCTACCAAATCGCAAGTTGTGATTCAGTATGTACTCTTGAAAGCTTCTGTCTCCTGTCTGCCTAAAATAGTGGCTCAGGACTGAATTGGAAAGGGCTATTTCAGCTTTCCTGAGCTGTGGCAAAGACTGAGCGATTATGTACATCCCCAGAACATTAGAGCAAGGCTGTTTGCTTCATGTCATACAAATCTGTCTTCTGGAATTCTGACCCTGAGTTGTGTGCGTTCAGCCACAAATAAGACTTTGAGCAGTTCTTCAGATAAAGAATCAATGGATTGCATTGCAATTTGACCATATTTGGCCTTATATTAGTTGACCAATGTGGTCAGGATAAAATCTGATGGCTGTTTGGGTAGTAGAGTAGAATGAAGTAACGTTCTTTCCTAAGACCACAAGAAAGGTAAGCGTTGAAGTCACCAAGAGCAATGATTTTAACAGAGGGGAAGTTAGAATTGATAGAATGTGTATGGGACTATTGTTTGAGTTGTGGTGGTATTACTCTCCAAAACAATTAAGATGTGCTAGATTAAATGTATTTTTCTTGGAGTATCACTTATCAGCGTGATGTCACCTGAGAGGGGGACAAAAGCATTACAATTAGAAATGGGAAGTGGTAGTTGAAGTAAGTGGGGTGTTGGAGTGAGCAATGGAAGGGGTACCAACCCAGCCTTTTCAGCATTGTCTGGAAGTAGGAAAAAACGTATTGAAGGTAGATAATATTTATTTATCTGTTTTGCCCTTATCTGTATCTGAAATAAGACAGGAATGTTGGGAATCCACTACCTGTCAATCCACATCTGAAGGAGAAAACTTTAAAAAGTTTCACACATGACCTTATGAATGACCCTACAAGTATCTGTTTGGACCCCTGGGCTGCTTTTCCATCTTGCACTGTTTGTAAGTGAGGATGTTTTAGAAATAATTATCAGTGAAGTACAGCATATAAGTGGATCTAAATTATATTCAGAAAATACTGTAGTATTATGAAGTTTAGTTCTAGATAGTGATAAACCTCTCTATTTGCAGGCAAGAACACAGTATCAAGATCAATATAACCAGCAGATGGATGAGTTTGTTCTTGCACAGACCATCGAGCATAGCGCTAAACAGGAGCAGAGAAGGACAGAACAATCTCAACTCAACATTACAGAACTGACGCAGCCACCGTTTATAGCAGGTAATGAGAGCTCCAGTGCTATGCCAAAATACGTCATTTGCAATCTTAATAAGGAGCAGATAGATTTGCTTGCTCAGTTTATTTTTGTATTTTGTACTTTACAACAGTAGCCCAGAGATTAGTTGACCCATAAACCAACCATCGTAAAAGGATTATTGAAGGAGAGAGAAATGCATTTCTTAGTTTTTATTTTTTGGATCCAACATCTTCATCTGACCTTTAGGCTCTTTTTAGCCATTTAACCAGTCTCTGAACAAGTTGTTGCCTTAATGAGTCTTCTTAGAAATACTCCCAAATTCATTTTTGAAAGTGGAATTTAATAGGCTGTTAAAAAAAATTGGACACTCTTCCTTCTTACAGCTTGACATCATACATAAGCTATATCAGTCGTATTCAAATCTTTCGAGTTTTGACTTTGAAATGATTCATCTTTCATGCTACCAATTGAGCCCTGAGTTGCTTGTGCTATCATATCAGTCAGTTGCCTTTCTAGTTAATTAATCCAGCTTCAAAATTTACCAAATCACATTACACACTTGTCTGCAAATAGCATTCCTGCGTGTGACAGACTACAGNTTTTTTTCCATATAACCAAATCTACGTCAGTAGTTTATATCAGACTTCAACATTTGTGGATCAGAGAGTGAAACAAAAGAATATAAGAAAAACAAACACAAATTTTAATTGCTTTATAACTATTGTAATTAATTTATAGCTATATAATTTGGAATGATCTGCCTGAAAGGGTAATGAAGTCCGATTCGATAACAGCTTTTAAGAGAGAACTGGATAGGTATCTAGGGAAGACGGGTTTGCAGGATTATGGGGAGAAAGCTGGTGATTGGGGTTAGTGAATCTATGTCAAAGAGCCGCACAGACTCGATGGGCCGAATGGCCTCCTGTGTCGTAACATTCTATGAATCTATAGATTGAAATCAATAGCATATCCCAGTTTTTGCAACCAACATGCTAGTTCTTAGGAACAATATATCCTTTTAATTTGAATTTGTGTTTACAAGTAGTTTGACCTGTATTTTCTTAACATTCCTTCATACTCATATGATTGCAGCTACTGCTGAAGGCAAACGCCAAAGAAAACCCAGTAAGAAACTGCTTGAATCAACAGAAGACTATGATCAATTGTTTATTCCAAAAAAGAAACTGAAACCGGGATTTGACCCCTTGCATCAGGTCTGCTTTATTCCTGACTTTGTAATCCTTGGCATTGTTTTTGATTGCTAAAAGCTCATTCTACTCTATAAACTCTGGTCATTTACTGGGGCACAATGTAAATGGCAGTTTAAACTGTAACTACAAGACAATTTGTAATTTGCATAGTTTTCCTGGGTATTATTGTGAGAAAGCAACTATTTAAGAAAGCAGATATTTAATACTTGGCTAATAAATTTGTTTGGGAAAGATGACTATTGGATTATTTTTGGCTTTCCTGTTTAATTCTGTTCAGATACTTTATATAATATAATGCTTATTAGAATGCTACAACAAGCACTTGGAGGTTAGAATTTTTGGCCGTGTCTTTCCTTATTGTATTTACACAATGTTTGCTGGTACTAATGGCAAGAGAGTTTAGGTGCAAATGTATAACAAAGCCTTATCTGCAGTTGGGTTGGGGGAGCGGAAAATTGTGTTGTTTCTATGTCTCTTTTGATCATGCAGAAGTTCCAAACAGCATCCCATGATATCTCTGTTTGAATAATTACCTGATAATTTTGTATGTGGAAGTTAATATATATTGAAAGAAAACTATACCAAAAGTCAGTAATATTGTGGGATTTCAAGATCCTAACAAAGCACTTCGTATCCTAGAACCTCTCTGCCTTTTCAAGCTGCTCACACCTCATTTCTTACCCTTCCCTTCGCTCAACCGGCTCTGGCGTTCTGCACATCCCTCATCCCCTCCGCCCCACCATTGCTATTGATGCTTTTTTTTCTATGTTTTCAATCACTACCCCGAAAACTCTGGAACTCCCTGTTTTATATAAAAAAAACTATAGAAAGGAGTCCTGTAGCTCATTGGTTAGAGCACTCGCTTTGCAAGTGAGAGACCCGAGTTCAATTCCAGGCAGGGCAAAACTTGGGCAAGCTTCCTTCTCCACACGCCTAATAATAATCCCTCCAAAACCAAAAACAATAATAAATTGGTCATTTTCAATCTACAAGTTTGTGGGACATTGCTGTGCGCAATTGGCTGCCGCGTTCGCCCACAAATATACAGTCAATTCACTTTACAGTGTGTTCTGTGAAGCGCTTTGGGACGTCCTCCTGACGTGAAAAGCGCTATATCAAACGCAAGGATTATTATTATAGGAAGTGAATTTTATAATTTTTGAGTAATCAGCCCTGCAACCTTTGTAGATCTAAAAGTATTCAACCATCCATTCTGGCATGTCTGTTTTATTTGTTATAATCATCAAATAGCAACAAAAAAATGGCATTTATAAAGCACCTTTCATGTCAGTAGGACATCCAAAGGCACTGGAAAGTCGAAGATTTGCACCCAAGCTAGGGGATGGATTTAGAAGGGATGTGGGTGGGGGAAGATGACCGATGGCTCAGAAAACAGGAAGGCCTTGAAGAGGACCTTGAAGGAGGCAAGGGAATGGACTCGGAGATGAATTCCAGGAAGTAGGGGCTGATAGCTAAAAGCCCGAAGGCTGATGTGGGGCTGGCAGAGCTGCGGATGTGAAGCAGGACTGTGTCTTTCGGGCGGGTTGGTAGGGTTTAAGAAGGTCGCAGAGAGTAAGAGCATGGATATGGGGTTTAAAAGACAATTGAGAGTCAGAAGAAGACCGAGGTTAGTGTGCAACCATGTAGATTCATACTGTCATACTTATTACAACTTCCTAAACATTGTGTGTCATTTGCTTCAGGGTGAATAGAAAAGACTTAGAAGCAATTAGAAACCTTGAGTGAAATTACAGTTCAATTAAATCATAATAAAGATACAAACGGTCAGCAGTTGATTGATCTTAATAAAGTCTGGTATGTTTATTATGGAGTTGAAATAGTTCCATCTGCAGTTTTGTTTTCTAAAAACCTATATGAAGATATTTTTAAATAAAATAGTTTAATAAAATCTTTTAAATTTTGGGTTGCAGAATTTTATGCCTGCAATTTGTCTCATCCTCATCCTGAAAAGATAATTGTTTCTTTCTCTGTATTTTATTTGTTAGGGAACAGCAGAACATTTGGAAAGATCAATCCAAGAAACAGAATCGCAGCAATCTAGAATTGGTAGTACTGAATCAAAGAAGCGTCAACGCAAAAGGAATTTCAATCCTTCACAGTCTTGCCCCATACTGGAGGCATGCTTGTCTACACCTTTACCAGAACTATCCCTGTCCACACTAGTAGCAGGGCCATTCCTATGTACAACCATATCAGAACCCTGCTTCTCCACATCTGTACCAGAAACAACCCTATCTGCACCTGTACCAGAAACATCCCTGCCAATATTTGTAGCAAAGCCTTCCTTATCCACATCATTATCAGAATCGACTTTCTCCGCACCTCTACGAGAACTGCCTTTGTCCAGGCATGCAGCAGAGACTTCCCTAATCACAGCTTTAGTTGAATCATCTCTATCCATGCCAGTAACAGCACCAGTACTGGCCACATGTGCAGCAGAACCACCCCTGAACACACCTGAAGCAGAACCAGCCATGCCCATGCTTTATGCTGAGTCAGTGCTGTTCACACATGATCCAGAACCATCTCAGCCTATACCAACGATAGAACAGTCCCAATTCAAGAGTTCAGTAAAACCATCCCAGACATTACCTGTTGTGGAACGATCCACAACTGCATCAAAAGAAGTCCTGTCTTCTCCAGTAATAGAAGATTTCCATTGTCGACCATCAGCAAATGCTGCTCTAACTGTACCTGTAGTTGACTCACTTTCAGAAGACTCTAGTCAACAAACAGAAATGCAACAGTACAGAGGAGCCAGTGCTGTACAGAAGAAAATGCAACGTAAAAGGTGTTTGACTATTCTGCAGATGAGTCCTATAGCTCAGCAGGCCTTGCCAACATCTGCAGATGAGGCGGAGGCAATACCCATGGAACAATCTGCTTCACCTGGTAGGAGACATTTTATTATACAGTACTAAGACAATATTTCCATTCAAACTAATACAGTAAGAACTTAATTTGCAAAGAAATATAACAGGAAGGTTCATACAAAGCACTGAGCCCAAACAATCTATGTAGCATTCTTATACATTTATCTCTTTGAAGATGGCCTTTTTATTTCCACTTGTCTGATTGTGCCCTAATTGGTATATGCCTTTCCTGATTTTTAAGTGCAATGTTATTCAGAGATTACACAGAACTGCTAAATCTTGCAACCTCAGTCTTCTAACTTCAGCTGTGGTTTATTGCTTTGTTAAAAACAATTATTAGTCTGTCCTCCGATCTAGAAATACAAAATATTTTTAATCTCTTGGAATTCTATTTTATTATAACAAAGCACTGGATCAGAATTGAACTTGGATGAATGAATTTGAAGAGTGACATTTATTCAGAATTCATAGGATTTCACATTAAAGTAGTGCAAAAGGTGCAGTAGTTCAAATCCATTCATTCCCTGGCACCTCCTTACCTCCGACCTCCTCACTCCCCAATCCACCACCCAACGTCTCTGCTTGACTGACACTGGCCTGTCTGACTCCTGCTCGACCTTCGCACCCTCCGCCCCACCATCGGAGGTGGCGCTTTCAGCCACTGTACCCCAAAACTCTGGAACACTCTCCCTCAATCCCATTGCCTTGCCCCTCTCTCCCCTCTTTCAAGGCCCACCTCTTTTATCTTGTTTATGGCCACTTCCCCCTCCCCCTGCCTCGGAGTCAGGCTCCGGCACTGGAAAGCGCTCTGATATGCTACTCTGCGTGGAGGGCACTATATAAGTGCATGTTGTTGTTATTTATTCCAATGATAGTTGCATCTCAGAATGTTAGTGATTAAAATCTGCAGTTACTTTTTGCTTTGAGAAAAATCACTGCACACGTCATAGTAATGTTGTGTCATTTGGTCGGTAAACTAAATCAAATTGTGTGAAAACAATGAACTATACTTGATTTGATTCAAATCAGATACAATTAGTGCTCATTAGATATGATTGCTTATGGAATACACAATTATCACAATCCACGACCACTGACTCTTGTAATCTCTGGTATTGACTGAAGCTGGGTTATGTTTTTGATTGAAATAAAAATGTTTGCTATTTGTGGTTTAGTGCATTCTGCTTCATTTTGGTGGATTGTGAATGGTGAATCAAGGCTTTGTGGGGTCCTGTAGCTTAGTGGTTAGAGTACTCGCCTTGCAAGCGAGAGACATGGGTTTGATTCCCGGCAGGGTGAAATGTTGGGCAAGTTTCTTTACTCCACACGCCTCTGTTTGTCTAGCAGTAAGTAAGAACTCGGTTGTTAGCCAATTGGCAGATTGTTTTCCTGGGGGTAATAATACCTTGAAAAAAATAATTTGGCCACTCAATCTACAACTGTTTAAATTGAACTTAACGGTCCATCGGCAGATCTGGCTGGACCTTATCAAATCTTACCGCTCTGCCCTCGCCTCCACTAAATCGTCCATCTACTCCTAGAGGCCAAGGACAACCCCAGGCTCCTCTTCCCCATCACCAACCGACTCCTCCGCCCACCATCTCACACCTCGAGGATCTGCTCAGTTGCCTCTGCCCTTCCGTCTACTACCCCCTCCCCATCTCCCCCTCACACCATGGCCCCTACCCTCCCTCCACATCTTCGACCCTGTCTCCCACTCCTCTCTCACCAACACTATAACCCGCATGAAACTGACCATCTCCTTGCTCGAACCTATCCCAACCCCTCTCCTTACCTCCCAGCTCCACCTCCTTGCTCCTCTACTCACACACAGCCTCTCCCTGTCCACTAGTACCATGCCCACAGCTTTAAAAACGTCCGTCATCACTCCTATCCTTAATATAAAAAAAAACTCTCCCTGAACCTATTCATGCTCTCAAACTACCGCTCCATCTCCAACCTCCCTTTCCTCTCCAAGGTCCTATAACGAACCTTTGCTTCGCTCCTTCCTTTTCCACCGCTCCCTTCACGAACCCCTCCAATCGGGTTTTCGTGCTGCCCACAGCACAGAAATAGCCTTAGTCAAGGTGACAAATGACATTCTATGCATCTACGACCAGGGCTCTCTCTGCCTCCTTGACCTCTCTGCTGCCTTCGACACCGTTCACCATTCTATCCTCATCCACCGCCTCTCCTCACGTCAACCTTCATGGTTCTGTCCTTGAATGATTCAGATCGTACCTCTCACATGGCCTCCACTTTATCTCCACAAGTGGTTTCTCCTCTAGCCTCGCACCGTCTTGTGCGGAGTTCCTCAGGGCTCTGTCCTTGGTCCCCTCCTCTTCAATATCTATATGCTCCCTCTTGGTGGCATCATCTGCAGACATGGGGTCAAATTCCACATGTATGCGATGACACCCAACTCTCTGCCTCCACCCTGTCAGACATCAAGTCCTGTATGAGAGCTAACTTTCTTCAGTTGAACGTCAACAAGACTGAGGCCATTCTGATTGACTTCCGTCAGCTCCTCCACACTTCAGGCGCTGACAGCATCATCGTGGATACACACTCCACCATATTAAGCTAGTCCGGAACCTTTGTGTCTTGTTTGACCCTCAACTATGCTTTCATCACATAGTTGTGCCATGACCTGCTCTGTCTTCCTCCACCTCCGCAACATCAGCCAGCTCCGCCACTCTCAAACCGCAGGCCACTGAAACCCTCATACACACATTCGTAACATCGAGGTTTGAGTATGCAAACTCCTTACTTGTCAGCCTCCCCAACTCCTCCTTCCATAGGCTGCAGATTATCCAGAACTCTGCAGCCCGTGTTCCCATCCTTTCCTGATTGCACTGGTTTCCCATTGCACAGAGGATACAGTTCAAGATCCTGGTCCTCACCTTCAAAACCCTCCATGGCCTTGCTCCCCACTACCTCTGCGACCTCCTAACCTCTTACCATCCTGCCCGCTCCTACGCTCAGTGGGGGAGCGGGCAGGATGGTAGGGGGTTAGGAGGTCGCAGCATCCCCCACCTCGCTCGCCGCACCATTGGCAGGCGAGCCTTCTGCCACTCTGACCCACCCTCTGGAACCCCATCACAAAGTCCCTGCGCCTCACCCCATCCCTGGCCTCTTTCAAGTCCCATCTCAAGATCTTCCTCTTTGACGTGGTTTTGATCACCCTGTTTTTTATTTCCCCCCGCCCTCCCCACTCCCGACCTCCAGCTCGGGTCCAAAACACTGACAAAACAAAACAGTGCCTTGGGACGTCCTCCCGCTGTGAAAGGCGCTGTACAAATGTAATTTTGGTGTTGTTTGTGGGACACTGCTGTGCGCAGTTGCCTGCCGCATTTTGCCTACAAAATATACAGTCAATTCACTTTACAGTGTATTCTGTGAAGTGCTTTGAGACTTCTCAAAGGCATGAAAAGTTGCTGTATCAAATGCAAGGATTATTATTATTATGTTAATTCTTGACAATTTCAAAACAACAACAGCGCCTTTCACGTCGGGAGGACGTCCCAAGGCGCTGGACAGTTGGGTCGGGACCCGAGCAGGGGCGAAATGGTCAGGGTGAGGGGAGGGAAGGGAGGGAGCGAGGAAGGGGTACAGATTCAAGAGGGGAGCTGAAGGCACGGTTGAAGAGAAAGGTCTTGAGACCAGCCTTGAAGGAGGAAAGGGAGGAAGCGGCGAAGGCACTGGGGGATGGAGTTCCAGAGCCTAGGGGCTGAGAGGCTGAAGGCCCGACCACCGATGTTAGCTGGGCCGGAGGAACGGAGGGTACGGGCAGGTAAGTAGGGGGATAGTAGGTCGGAGAGGTAGGAGGGAGCGAGGCCGTGAATGGCCTTGTAGGTGAGGATGAGGATCTTGAATTCGATCCTCTGGGGGATGGGGAGCCAGTGGAGGCGAGCGAGGGTAGGAGTGATGTGGTCGCGAAGTCTGGTGCGGGACAGTACACGAGCTGCAGAGTTCTGAATGACCTGCAGTGTGGAGGGAGGGCCGGGAAGGCCGACGAGGAGAGAGTTCCCATAGTCCAGCCTTGAGGTGAGAAAGGCGTGGACCAGTGTTTCAGCAGAGTGAGGAGTGAGGTAGTGCCGTAGTCTGGCTATATTCCGGAGGTATGATAGAAGTATGATCTTTTTACTAGTTATTTGATTAAAAAAAACTTTTAAAAATTGTCAATTTTCAACTAATAAAGATAAACATATAAGATTGTTGTATTTATTCTCTATTACAGAAAATAGTGAAAGAAAACGGCATAGAAAACCAACTAAGAAGCTATTGGAATCAACTGGAGATTTTGATCAATTTGTTCCAAAGAAGAAATTCAAACGAGACCTTTATCATTCATTTAAGGCATGTACCCTTACATTTTAAAACCATTTTTAAAATTTAAAGCATTACATAACTTTGTTTAATGTTATAATACTTGCTAATGATAGAAATGTTTATAGGCAGGTAAATAATATAAAAGAACAGTTAAGAAGAATAGGTGGTTAGTAGGACTATGATGCCAGCATAAATGTCTTCTTACTTTTGGTATTTGGCAACAGTATTACTTTCTGTGAGGCTGAAATGACTTTACTTCTCTTTACAGCCTTCTCTACAGTCTGAAGTTGTACATGTAAGAAGGCTTCGAACTGTAGCAGTTACCCCTGTATCACTGTTTGCTAAGGACCATTCAAGTAAGTGAGAAATCTATACTGATCAATTTAGATAGTATTGCTCTATCTACCAACTAAGACGGGTATTCTAAATTAACTTGAACATTGAGAAGTGCTGACCAAAATTCACTTCCTTGAAAAAGTTGTTGCATCAAGTTGTTGGCAATGTGGCAATGAAATCAGTACTTTGTCAGACATGATAACTTAGTTGTCTTTAGGCCATATCAGAAATTTATGGTCTCGGTGTTTTCAGAATTTCCTCCCATCATCTTCTACCTCACAAATGTGAGCTTAAGTTCCATTTTATGAATACAAAAGTGGGCCTTAGCTTATTGACAACAAGAACTTAAGCATATTTATTTCAACGATTAAGTGTGATAAAATATTCCATGGGTGTGGTTCAGATACAGTTTACTCTGAGATTTGATTGAGGAATCTGTATCCAGTGATGTGCAGGACAGTGTACGTGTGTGGGAGGAGGTAAAGAGATTTGTTACCGATTTTATACTTTCCATATAACCGTGTAATTATTTGTTTAATAAATATGTCACTCAGAATAATATGTTAATAATACTTGCATTTGATATAGTGCTTTTTACTTACAGATTTTACACTAATAAAAACATATACATTTTGCAGGTGACAGTAGTCTTTCAAACAGAACAGCTGCTAAAACTGAGAATAGACGAGCAGTAACATCAGCTGCCAATAAGGAGCAGATCTGCCTCAGATCTGGAAACTCAACAGAAAAAAAGGTATTCCTATACTTGTTACAGACATAGAAATATTCATAACTGCTAACAAAGTTATTGCTTGTGCACTTATATCACCACTAGTGAGAAGAAAAAGCAGTTTGGTTTGACTGCTATACAATAGAGAAGCTGGAAAGAGCATCTTGTTCAGTTGGGCACAAGCAGACGATTTTTGATTCCCACAAAGAATTGAGGAAAATCATCAATGACCGATGAAGATGAGAATTTGAACAGATAACAGATAAGCATGAAAGAGGCCATAATGAAAAGACTATTCGCTGAATTGCTGATAAGCTGGGCCAACAAAAAAGTGCAGAAGAAGTTACCAAAAATTGTGGGGAAATTTTAAAAAATTTGCAAAATAATTGCCAGGGGAGGTTCCTGCTATTGAGGTACATTTTACTACCAACTTTTTTCACTTTATTGACAAAACTAAACATGAGGAAATAACAAATATTAGATTATCACAAAAAACATATTAATTTCTTCTTTAACATAAACTGGGTGGCGGGATTGAAGCTCACCACCTCCTGCACACACACGCGGGCAGGCACACACGCAGGCAGACACGCGCAGGCACGCAGACTTGCGCACGCACGCAGACACATTCATGCACACACACAGAGACAGGCACACACACACAAAGACACGCACACACAGACAGGCAGACGCAGACACACACACAGGCAGAAACACACACAGGCAGACACACACAGACAGACACACACACACAGGCAAACACACACAGACAGGCAGGCACACAGACAGGCAGACACACGCACGCACACAGGCAGACATACACACACAGGCAGACACACACACACAGACAGGCAGACACACACTCAGACACACAGAGGCAGGCGCACGCACAGACGGGCAGACGCACGCACAGACGGGCAGACGCACGCACAGACGGGCAGACGCACGCAGAGATGGGCAGACGCACGCAGAGATGGGCAGACGCACACACACACACAAACAGGCGGGCAGACACACACACACACAAACAGGCAGGCAGACACACATACACACAGACAGGCAGACACACCCACAAAGGCAGACACACCCACAAAGGCAGACACACCCACAAAGGCAGACACACACGCACAAAGGCAGACACACACGCGCAGGCAGGCAGGCAGACACACACGCGCAGGCAGGCAGGCAGATACACGCGCAGGCAGGCAGACACACACGCGCAGGCAGGCAGGCAGGCAGACACACGCGCAGGCAGGCAGGCAGACACACACGCGCAGGCAGGCAGGCAGGCAGACACACACGCGCAGGCAGGCAGACACACACGCGCAGGCAGGCAGGCAGGCAAGCAGACACACACGCGCAGGCAGGCAGACACACACACACACGCGCAGGCAGGCAGGCAGACACACACGCGCAGGCAGGCAGGCAGGCACACGCAGGCAGGCACGCACACACGCAGGCAGGCACGCACACACGCAGGCAGGCACACAGGCAGGCAGACACACACAGGCAGGCAGACACACACAGGCAGGCAGACACAGGCAGGCAGTCACACACACACAGACATGCAGTCACACACACACACACACACACACAGGCAGGCAGACACACAGACAGGCAGACACAGGGGCAGGCAGACACAGGGGCAGGCAGACACACGCACACAGGCAGGCAGACACAGGCAGGCAGCCACACACACACAGGCAGGCAGCCACACACGCACACACAGGCAGGCAGCCACACACGCACACACACAGGCAGCCACACACGCACACACACAGGCAGCCACACACGCACACACACAGGCAGGCAGACACGCACACACACAGGCAGGCAGACAGACACACACAGGCAGGCAGACAGACACACACAGGCAGGCAGACAGACACACACAGGCAGGCAGACAGACACACACAGGCAGGCAGACAGACACACACACAGGCAGGCAGACACACACACACAGGCAGGCAGACACACACACACAGGCAGGCAGACACACACACACACACAGGCAGGCAGGCAGACACACACACACAGGCAGGCAGACACACACACACACAGGCAGGCAGACACACACACAGGCAGGCAGACACACACACAGGCAGGCAGACACACACACACAGACAGGCAGACACACACACACAGGCAGGCAGACACACACACACACAGGCACGCACACACACACAGGCAGACACGCACAGGCACAGGCAGGCAGACACACACACACTCAGGCAGACACACACACAGACAGGCAGCCACACACGCACACACAGGCAGGCAGACACGCACACACACAGGCAGCCACACACGCACACACACAGGCAGGCAGGCAGACACACACACACAGGCAGGCAGACACACACACACAGGCAGGCAGACACACACACACACACAGGCAGGCAGGCAGACACACACACACAGGCAGGCAGGCAGACACACACACACAGGCAGGCAGGCAGACACACACACAGGCAGGCAGGCAGACACACACACAGGCAGGCAGGCAGACACACACACACAGGCAGGCAGGCAGACACACACACACAGGCAGGCAGGCAGACACACACATACAGGCAGGCAGACACACACACACACAGGCACGCACACACACACAGGCAGACACACACAGACTGGCAGACACACACAGGCAGGCAGACACACAGACAGGCAAACACACACACGCACACAGGCAGACACACGCACACAGGCAGACACACACACACGCACACAGACAGGCAGACACACACACGCACACAGACAGGCAGACACACACAGGCAGACACACACACAGATACACACACAGGCAGACACACACAGGCAGACACACACACACAGGCAAACGCACACAGACAGGCACACACACACACACACAGGCAGATACACACACACAGGCAGATACACACACACAGGCAGATACACACACACAGGCAGATACACACACAGGCAGATACACATACACAGGCAGACATACACACACAGGCAGACACACACACAGACAGGCAGCCACACACACAGGCAGACACGCACACACACAGGCAGGCAGACAGACACACACAGGCAGGCAGACAGACACACACACACAGGCAGGCAGGCAGACACACACACACAGGCAGGCAGGCAGACACACACACACAGGCAGGCAGGCAGACACACACACACACAGGCAGGCAGACACACACACACACAGGCAGGCAGCAACACACACACAGGCAGGCAGACACACACACACAGACAGGCAGAAACACACACACACAGGCAGGCAGACACACACACACAGGCAGGCAGACACACACACACTCAGGCAGACACACACAGGCACAGGCAGGCAGACACACACACACA